GTCATTCGAAAGAAAAAAAAAAAGACACATAAAATTAAGATATGCATACGAGATTGGTAAGATTTATCTTACTAATACGAGTGAGTATTATTTATTTTATTGTAAATATTATACGAGAGTGATACAAAAAATAAAAGATAAATAATAAAATGTATGAGACAAATTTTATTATGCATGAAGAATACGGAATGTAAGTATAAAATCATATTGAGAGGGAGAAAGAAAGAAGAAGAGAAAAGATATCGTACATAATGAAACATATTTTACGTTTTAACGTTTAGATAAATCAAAAAAAAAAAAAAAAAAGAGAAAAAGAAAAGGGTCGAGTAGTATAGGAAAATTTCAACATAAAACTTCGGTACACCTGCATGATGTTCAAAGAGAAAAGAGAGATATCCTCTTCCATACGGGTGGTTCATGAAAGGTACTGTAAAATAATCTAATCGACGACAATGGCATTAATGCCAGAGTATATTTACGGTTAATTGAGTAGTAGTGGTAGGGACCAAACCCATCAGGTATCTCATCCAACATACATATATACATATAATAGATTTATATAAATGTTGGTTAAGGGGGATTATATATATGAGTGTTAATACAAACAAGATTCGATCCTTTCCTTTTACCAGCTCGATATTATATTTTTCTTCGACGATAAAGAAGAGTTATAAAATCTACGGCTAGTTTTCAACGTTCAGCGTGCGAACGAGTTGAGTTTAGTTCAGTTTAGTCGAGTTGAGTTAAGTGGAAGGAACGATGAACACCAATGGGGTATAATAATAATAATAATAATAATCGAACACGGGGACTGACCAAAATCGCGATAAATCATTCGATATAAAATTGGTTGGTCGATGGGACCCGAAGGGCTTACCCCCTTCTCAGGTAGGATACATATTACATACATATATCTTACTTATGTATGAGTGTATGTATGTATATTTCAAGTTAGAGGAGAGAAAAAGAATGTAAGAGAGAGAGAGAGAGAGAGAGAGAAGAAATAAGAAAAAGTGAAATAATGAGAGAGAAGAAAGAAAGTGTAAGAGAGAGAGAGAGAGAGAGAGAGAGAGAGAGAGAGAGAGAGAGAAAGATAGAAGAAATAATAAAAAGTGAAATAATGAAAGAGTGTAAAAGAAAAGGAAAGACGATGGAAATAAGTATAAAAAAAAAGAGAAGGAAAAATGTAAAAGAGGGAAAGAGTAATTGATGTGAGGAGGAGCAAGAAAGAGAGGAACACCTGTCGAACAGCTGCCTCGCAGATGGCCCTTATACTCTCTCGCTTAAGGATTATGTAACTCTATAAGAGATCTCTCGTTATTCGACTTAAATATGAGTATACTTTCGATCGTGAAGACACGTACCGATAATGGTATAATTATCCTATCGATGATAACTATGAATCTTGATTCTTCTTATAAGACAACAAGATAAATCATTATTTTAACAATCACGAGAAATAATGTTAAAAGATTTAATTATGAATTTAAATATATATGACGCGAATTATGTAATTATTAGAAAGTCAAATTATATCTTGTATAATTTAACACGATATTATACGTTGGATAATAAATTTGATTTTTGTTGTATACTATTCCGGATCTTATACTTTGCGAAGATATTTCATATATATTTTTTTCTACGAAAAGAAAATTCATTATTTTATAATTTCGTATTAAAATATTCATAAATTTGTATCTAATAAATATAACGAGATTAAACACCGTGAATATTAGGAATATATTTATATCCATGTTTCAGCATAATTGATATAATTTATCTCACTTTCACGGGTTACAAATTTGATGAAATAAAAGAAAAAAAAGAGAAACGAGTCTGATTGCCCTATTTTTCTTTTTGTAAATGGAATCTTCTTGAATTCGTATTTTAAATGATAAAAGGTGTACGGCACGTGTTAACAATATGTATAATAAATTAAAAGGAAAGAAAAAAAAAGGGAGACACGAGAGAATAGAGGAGGGAGAAAAACAGGAGGTGGTGTCCCTTTTCGTCTATCGTAAGAAAGAGAACCCTTCGGATTGGATAGGACTTATTGCTGCTTAATGTCGGACTGCATCATCAAGCGCTCGTTTATACTCGCCTTTTCCTTTCTCACGGATCGTTGATTTGACTGTGGTTCGTTAATTGCATAGACAGGGTTCTCGATTCGAAAGATAAATACCCGTGAAATGGAGAATATAAATTAGTTAACATAAGAGAGTTCTCTTTAAGATCTTAGAAAATTGATTAGAGGGATGGTTAATTTTATTTCTAAGTGTAACATGTATTATATATTTTTTTTTTCTATATAATAGATGGACACGCGTCGAAGAAAAAAGGGAACAACACACAAACAATTTGTATATTATTTATCTTTCATATTTTATATTTTTTCTTTTGTTTTTTTTAAATATTAATTATCATTCTAACACGCGCATAATTATACGTATATATACGATACGTAGATTATGCTTATATTTTTCATAATGATAATTTACAATGCAATGAACTTTAACTTACTCATAATTTTATCATTTAATTTTAGAAATGTTTAAAAAGTCCCTTTTTGACGAGGGTCAAGAATTAATTTTGAAACTTAATTCGAACGAGTATGGGGTTTTAGTTGCGTGCGAGTTAGTTAGCTATCGTAATCCGTAATAATCGGACCGGAAGACTTTACTGCACGACATCGTTTAAATTCTTTAACACAACAACCCTAAATTATAATATAAATACATGTTCATCATCAACTTAGGTTCTCTTTAAAGGAAAGAATAAAAAAAAGAAAAGAGAAGAAAAAGAGAGAGTGAGAGAGAGAAAAAAGAAAGGGCGGATGGTTTCTCGGTTACTTCGAAGACCATGGATCACATTAAATATGGCGACGTACAGCAGTTGTGTACGATTTGCCATAATATCGCGGTTAGATCAAAGAAAATCTTTCTGCGTGTTTATATTTTTTTTTTTTTTGAGACAGAGAAGAGGGGCCATTTTTTTGTTTTGTTTTTTTATTTACAATAAGAGCACGAGGCGTACAGCACAAAGACGATTAAATTTGCGGCTATGATGAAGAGCATCAAAGCAGTAACAGCGAGTATCTTTTTGAGATGGTTGTTAACAGAACAACCAACAAGCACGTGCTTCTTAAAAAGACTCGTGGCTGCTGTTGCTGTTCTTAATCTTGTTCGAAGTCTCTGAGAAACCTTCGCCCACCACTTTTGAGATTCTTTCTCTCTCTCTCTCTCTCACTCTTTTTCTCATTCTCTTCTTTGGAATCTCTTATAAGTCAGTCGACGAGTTAAAAAAAAAAAAGGAGGTCACGCGATATATTCTTGATCCATCATGAAAGAAAAGAAAGAAAAGAAAGAAAGTTTAGAACCTATTCGATAAAGACCATCGATAAAGAAAAAAGAAAAAAAGTGGGCTTTGAAATTCTTCGTGAGGATTCGAACGCTATGGAAAAGTTAAACAAAATTTAAATAAGACGTGAATAATCATCATCAGTTTTATAATACGATTGTTGAAAGTTAAAACTAAACTTTCTCTGTTTCCATCGATGATGTGTGATGTAAGCACTATGGTATGCTAGGAGATGTGAATAGAAGGAAGGTAATTTATGTGTGAGCAACCTGAACGGAGAAGTCAAAAAAAGTTGATGGAAGCTTGTCACAGAGAGAAGGGTAAAATAGAATCTGTAGAAAGAAAGAAAGAGTTTAAACGAAGGGAAGGAAGGAAGAAAGGAAGGAAGGGTATTCTAAATGTGGAACACGAAAACCTTGAAGTTTGTTCTCAACTAAACGTCGTCGCGATTTAATGAAACTTGCAACGAATTCAATCTACTTGTGCATTTCGATTTATAAAATGCATTTTTTTTTCTGTTATGACAATAATTAAATATATTTGTTATACTGGGAAAATTTTTAAAGTTATTCTCAACCAAACGTCGTCTATTGCAAATGAATATTCACAACGAATTCAATTTACTATCTGCATATTATACAATTTTCAAAATTCACTACTTTTAACAATAATAATAATAATAATTGAATATATTTTACATACGAAAATCCTTGAAGTTATTTTCAGTTAAACTTCCGCTATGCAAATGAATCTTTGCAACGAATTTAATCCGCTGTGTTATATATTTCAATGTAAAAAAAAAGAACAAACAAAAAGTCAATGTTAATTGCGTGACGATATTTAAATATGTGTGCGAAAGATAAAATGAAAGGAAAAAATATAAAAAATAAAGAACTATTGACCAAAACTTGACCTGTAACGTCAACGTTATCGTTTCGAGGAACCGCAAAAGAGCAGCCAGCCAGCCAGCAAGCAGGGTCATCATTACAATTCTACGAAATACATGTGAATGGGATTTATTCTTACGCAGTCGTATGAAACTCGGAACACATCAGTGCACACTTCTCTTATTCTCAGAGTCAAATCGTTTCTTTCCGAGTTGTTGTTGTCGTCGTCTCATTTTCTCATTTACGTGGTCCGAATAACGGACTAGCACTGGGGGACGAGGTGAAGAAGGGAAGGGAGACAAAAACGATAATAATCTCTTAAATTGCTTTCGTAATTTCTTTTAATTAATCCGACGAAGTTTCAAAAAAAAAAAAAAAAACAAAAGAAATTGTAGATAAATACATTTCTACATGTGACGATTTTAACGAAGTAAACTCATAATGGGGGGAGGGAAGGGGGGGGGGAATGAATGCCTCGTAAATCAGCATTAATTTTAAGTGACGTGTGACACCGTATTTCGTTTGTTGGGTAATCAACTTGAGATGCGTTACTAATAGGCTTAATTTTAAATAAAAAAAAAAAATAATAATTTGGAGAGATACACGTGATGATAATTAGATATTCTTGCTCTGTCCCTTTTTTTCTATTCGTTTTCGTTGATAGTAATTTGTTTACTGAAAAAAAAAAAGAAAAAGAAAATAGAAAAGAAAATAATGTTTCTTCACACTTTCTTTCTTTTTTTTCTTTTTTAGGTAGCTAAAAGATCGTGTCAGGAGGATGGCATAAGACGAAATTATTCTCGGCCAGCAGCATGTGCTATGTTATAGTCACTGGTCGTAGTCTCCTTTGGACGTTGCTGTCTTTAGCAGCGTTAATGGCCGTTTTATCGGCCCTCCTTACCCCGAAATGGCTCGTCGGACCGCACACGATTAAGGACACGAGTAAGATTCTTCTCTTGTGCTATTACGTCACAAATATAATAATAATAATCATCATAATAATGATAATAATAATAATAACGTTGTTTTATTTATTGGGTCCAATATACTTTGATAAATATTTTGAAATAAATGGGTCAGTATTTTCAATAGAATATCAACGTGTATGCATTAATATATTATAAATCTAATTTTATTTTAAATATTGATTTCATAATCAATAGAAAATAGGAGAATATAATATTTTGGTTACGGCAAAAAAATAATTAAATAAATTTAACTTAATGAATATACATATGTGTATTATTTCATATGTCGATTGAAATTATATATTTTATTTGTTGATATTTTGTAGAAAATGGTACGGAATTATTCATACCGACAGTTGGGATCTTCAATCGTTGCACGAAATTATATGGAAGAACGCATTGTGCTAATTTCAACATTGACGGATTCGCAACGCATTCTTCCGTCTTTCCAGGATTCTGGAAAGCTTCTCTCTTTTTTATATCTTTTGGTTTGGCTGTGATGACTATGACCGTGGTGGCTGCTTTAATTGGATGCTGTGTTCAAAGTATCGGGAGGAAAAGTATCTTCGATTTATCTGGAGTAGCTCAAGCGATCGCCGGTAAAATTTTGTTTATTTTATTCAATTATTTAAAATTATTTTATGATTTTTAATTAGTAGTTTAATTTAATAGGAATATTGTACTTAATCGGTTTGAGTTTGTATCCCGCTGGATGGGGTGCTGAAAGAGTACGAAGAATATGTGGTCCAGAAGCTGATGCATTTTATCTCGGAGATTGTACTCTCGGTGATTATAAAATAATTAAATTATCTATTATGATATTTTATTATTATTATTATATAGGAATTGAAAAATATGTTTAATATATAATTATTATTTGTTTAAATATTGTAGGTTGGGCATTTTATAGTGCCTTAATAGGTACTGGCCTAACTTTTGCGGCAGCCATGTTGAGCGGACAAGCTGAAAAATCTACGGCTAGTGATAAGGTTCAAGATAAGATGAACGAGGGCAGGATGCTCATATGTTTAGCTTAAAAAACATAAATATTATTTTAATTGTTATACAATATACGTGAGATGATATTTTTCTTTGGATACTCTAACTAAGGTAATTGTATATTTTGAAATTTGTGTAATCTTTATCGTTCACAGTTTAAATGAGATAATTCATTTCGTTTTATTTCCATTCCATTTCAGAATCCTCGGAATTTTTGTGACGAATCCTTTTACGGGACCAACCGACAATTAATGTTACTTTTGTCTTTTTTTTTTTTACATTTATAATTCGAGTACTTATTATTCGTAAGATATTTCCTGAAAATAACGTTTGATATTAATCGTGTATTGTATACGATATTAATTAAGAGTATTAAACAAGGTGATTGATATGATGAAGTCTCTTAGGATATAACATTTATAATATAGATTTGTAATAAAGTTAGTATATATATATACATATACATATTATATACATATTTTTTTTATTATCTTGTGAGATAACTAAAAAACTATATATTATTTTTAAGATATAATAAAAATGTTTTAAACACGTAACCATATTATTACTTTATATTTTTCTATTATTATTCATATCGTAACGAATAATTAGAATATATCGTAATAATAATAATAATAATAATAATTAAAATATAACATAAGTGTTTTAAACAGTCTATTTATTTTCGAGTGTTGTTACAATTTTACAAAGAGACATAAGGAGTCGAGAAAACGTTATCTCGTGTGGTAACTTCTGCGCGATTATTATTTTTCTTCATTTATTTTTTTCTCGTTTAATAAATGTGAATCATTGTTTTTTATTAATTGGGGTAATTTACTTTTACGCATTTCAATCCTGAAGTTGAAATATATATATATATATAAGAAAACGATTATCTTCATTTCTGTAATGTGTTCCTTTTGCTGCACATGGCGTATATCTGACCTAATCGCAACGAAAAATCACAAAGCTCTCGTAATATTTGAATTATCATCTTACAGCCGAAATACGCAAGCAATTACTTCGAAATAGATTATTCAAGGCACGAAATGATAGAAGAAAAGTGCAAAAATTTGATCGATCCTTCAAGCAGTTATATATACGTATATATTTATTTATTTATTTATTTATTCATTCGTACGAAATAACAATGAGCCAAATACGATCGAACTCGACTCGATATTATTTTTTAAAATGATAATCACATTTTGGCTCTCTCTCTCGTCTCTCAATAACAAATATATAAAGTACATTAGAAATATTTTGATATTATTCTTATGATTTACTGTTTGTTGTCTTTTTTTTTTTTCGTCTTGTTGTTTTTCACGTAACTTTCGTAATCCTCGAATATAAATCCTATTGACAATTGTTCACGACGAATAAAATGATCGAATAATATTAAAAAGACAAAAGTCAATTTGAATAATAAAATGAAGACAAAAAAAATAAAGAAAAATAAAAAAAGAAATTCATTTGAAGTATAAATATAATATGCGAACGGTTGCATTATTTTTCCGGATTAGATCCGCACAAAAAAATCTATCTCGAGACGTCTGACAATTCTTAATCGATATTTAAAAAAAAAAAAAAAAAAAAAAAAAAAAAAAAAAAAAAAAAAAAAAAATGATTATACACTGGATATAAATTACTACACGTTATAAATATCTATATTCGTATGTGTGTAATAAAATACGTCGAATAAACGTTATTTTAATACGAGTGTGTTTGTGTGTGACGAGTCGACCAGTGACGCGGCCAAATATACAAATATCATTTTTTTTAAAAACTAAATTATTCGGTAGAATCGTTCTTCTTTTTTTCTTCTTCTTCTTCTTCTTTTTTTTTTTTTTCAACGTTACACGCAATAATATATTCGCACATTCGTTCGTAATAATTTCATTCACGCAACATAATTATTATTCATACAAATGTTCCTTCTTCTCTTCCATACTACTTAACAAACGCTCACGTATATTTACAGTTTAAACTGGAGATATAATAATTTCGTATGATAGGAAAAAAGAAATATTCTTAATATAAGTTTAAAACAGTAAAATAAATTTCACGAGTCAAAAAAAAAAAAAAAAAAAAAAAAAAAAAAAATTTTTTTTTTTAAAAAAAAAAAAAAAAAGTACAGAGCAATAAATATAAAATCGACATAAACGAGCAAACGCGAAATTTTGATTTTTTTTTTTTTTCTTTTAAATCGAATTTTGTGTGTTGTTAATATTCTTCGTTAATTATTATTACTCACGATTATTTAATCGTGATCGATTGAAAATGGATATATATATATATATATTTTTTTTTTCTTTTCTTTTCTTATCGATTGTATCTGTCAGTCGATTTATATATATATATATGTACACGTATAAATAACGAAGGCACCAAATGGAATTAACAATGAATAAAAATTACACCGAATCGAAAAATTTCCTTTTCCCTTTCTTCTTCTTTTTTTTAGTTTCGTTTTCTTATTTCTGTTACATCTTTCTTCCGTAGACATTTTGAAAAAATATCCAAATGGTAAACGCAATTGACAAATTTATCGAAACGATATATAATTAATATAATCAAACAACGAGGATGATAAACATTTTTGATTTACTTTTACTCTTTTTTGTTGTTGTTGTTTTTTCTTTCAATAAAATAGTTCATATCCTGATGAGTATTTTTTTTTATTTACTTAGGTTTAACACTAACGACTGACTTCTTCTTCTTCTTCTTTTAAAATTGAAAAACAATTTTCCGAATTTGTTGTTAATCATTGAAATTTTGGTGTCGATTTTGAAAAAAAAAATAGCAGAACAATTTTTATTGATCTTATATACTTTGTAAGCAATTGTAATAATGCAACGGTATTCATTAAAGCTAATGTTTTTCTTTCTCTCTCTATCTCTTTCACTTTCATTCTCACTCTCTCTCTCTCTCTCTCTCAATATACAAATAATTAACAAATACTTATTGTTTTAACGGTCCATTCGCACGTATATATTTTCGCAAATATATTCTTTGTTTTTTTTTTCTCTCTCTTTCTTTCGCGATAATTATTTAATTTCTATTATTAAACAAAATTAAAAAATATCGGCCGTATTTTTTGTTCTTGTTGTTGTTTGTTTGCATTCGCGCGTATGCGAAGGAGAAAATTCGTTAAAATAATAATTATACGAACAATAAATTAAAAGAAAAATCTTTTTTCATCCTGTAATGAAAAAGAAAGAAGAAGAATAATTTGTAGAAAATCTAATAACGTGATCATTTTTAGAATATAAATAACGCGAATACACGTGAAATTTATTATAAAATACTATCGATCAGAATCGTATTCCGAAGATTCGTGTTTATCTATTTATAATAATAATAATAATAATAATAATAATAATAAAAATATTTAGTATTATATTATAATAATAATGGTGTGTGTGTATATATATATATATATATGTATATATAGAAGTAATAGGAATCTTTTTATTCTTCTTTACAGCTTGTAACACTAAAAAATCAACTATCTCATTGAAGGCTGTTATTAAGAAGAAAGAATGAAACTATCTGGCAAACGTAATAAATAATTATAACAATTGGAACAACTGTCTTTAAGATTATTATATACATATATAGTACTGTATTTTTTTAAACGCAAAAAACGTTTATATTGAATTACGAATTCTTATATAAATGTGTTTTATAAATGATTAGTTTTATTATTGCCCGCATTCTTGATTAAAATTATTATTATTATAATGTATACCATATACGCGGGTGTATTATTATATACGTAATTATGTTTTCGAGACTGACTTGAATATGTATGTTTGTGTGTGTTTCTGTGTGTGTATTTCTTCTTCTTTTTATTAGCATTTTTTTTTTTCTTTCTTATAGATTTAGCTCGTAAACGATTTTAGAACTTTCTTTAGTATAATAGACGTATATATCATATATTTAATATATGTAATATACTTGTATAAATCTATTAGTTTTTATTGTTTCCATATATATATGTATACGCGTGAATATAAATTAATAATAATCGTTAGAGATAAAAGAAAAAAAGCAATGACATTAAAAACCATTGGAATCGTTTCAGCAATGATAATAATATATTACAAAAGTTATGGAGAAAAAATAAAAACAAAAGAAAAATTAAACTAATAAATTTTAGGCAATGTAATATAATATATGACTATTGTTAAATTCGTCTGTTTCAAAAATATCCACATAATCTATATAGTAGAATAATAAAAATTGTAGAAAATCACGTGTGTTCTTTTTTTTTATATATATATATATATATATGTTAGTTTGTTAAAATATACCGCTTACAAACTTAATATCTAATTCTTTGCTTTAGTTTCAATCAACGTTTATAAAAAAAAGAATTGATCGGTGAATTATCTGTGTGAGTGCAACAGTATTATAACAAATTCGTTAAAATTTTTTTTTACGTCGACGCATCACGAGATGTTTATAACATTTCGTTGAAGACATTTTTTTGTTTTTTTTTTTTTTTTTATGCATACGTATCAATGTATTTTGTGATTTTCTGAAATAAAAAAAAACAATTATAAAAAAAAGGAAAAAAGAAAAATACAAATAGATATCGAACGCATCAATGCAAAATAAAAAAAAAAAAAAAAAGAAACGGATAAGAACGTCGATTCGTGAAACATTTATACTGATATACAATAAAAAGAACATAAATACAATTACAAACTATAAATTAGAGAAATAATGGAAACGACAAGATTAAATTGAGATGACGATGATGATGGAAATGGGTGGATTGATTGGTGGGGGAGGGGGAATTGATTAGAATGATAAATTGACAGTCTTTAGACTACAATTGTATAAACAAAAATATAAACAATAATTATCACGAATTGCAAATATAGATATGATAAAGCTCGTTCGTCTATTTAAATTCTAATATCGATGTTAAAATTGTAGATTTTGATTGCAATAATGTTAACACTTATATGTATGTCTTTCTAAATTTTAAAGATAAAAATATTTTTCAATGTTACTTTTTTTTTTCTTTCTTTTCTTTTTTCTTCTTCTTTTTCTTCTTCTTCTTTTTAAATAAATCCTCTAACGATAAATAATTCGAAATACTGATTATATACGATGATTTACGATTTTTTGTTTCTTCTTTTCTTTTTTTCTTTCTATGTGCTTGTTAAATATAACACGATCCCTTACTATTATTATTATTATTATTATTCTTTTTTTTTTTCTTTAAATATTATTATTATTATTATTATTATTATTGTTATTTCTCGAGGAAAGCGAAAATCGTAAACGCGTTGTTATTAAATTCTTTGCCATATTGCAAAATTGTTCCTCACCTATGCATTGTGCATAAAATAGCAATAAACAACTACTACCAGTGTGATTCGTTAATATCGTACAGGAATGTAGCCTACGTTTAAAGTTGTCATTCCTAATGCCAATGGGGAATTATAATTCGAGAATAATGTTCGTATATAAAAATAAAAAGAAAAAAGAAAAAAGAAAAAGAAGAATTAAGAAAAAAGATTAGAAAAAAAAAAAAATAATAATAATAAAAAAAAATTAAAAAAAAAAGCAAGGAAAGAAAAGAAGTCTTCTTGCGATCAAAAAGGGAATTTACGTTAGCTGTTACGTTTCGGGAGCAAATATTTTCACCGTATTATCTTGATTTTGCATATTAGAAGAACGCATTGCTCGGCGTTTTTCTTCAATCAATTGTCGTCTCGCTTGCTCCCTTGCTTCTCGTGCCTTTTTATTGGCTTCGCTGTTCGCAGTAGGCTTTGTTTTATGAACAGGTGTTATACGACGTTTGGCAGTATTACCATTCTGCGAAAGTGATGCATTATTTTTTTTCTCCGGCACAATCTGAAATGAAATTATTAGCGAATACCTTTTTTTTTTCATCTCTCTCTTTATATAATTAATAATTATAGGTACATATATAGGACGTACTGGATTTTTTTGTTTACCACCATTTATATTCTTCTTTTTTTATGGGATTGTAATAAGGAGAAAGAAAAAAGTAGGATGATAATATACTTGTTGTTGATCTTGGTTTTTGGATGATAACACTTGGTTTTGTTTTCCTTTGCATAAGATCTTATCTAACTTATTATGGTCGCGATATTAAATGCTGCTTAAAAAATAAGATCCTTTCGAAAGAATTTATTTATAATAATATGTGTGTGTGTGTGTATATATATATATATGATTAGAGATCGAGATATACATAATAATATTCGAACGTAAGTTGGGAATTATTATATTAAATTGGCATTTACAAGTAATAAACAAGTCTTTCCTTTTCTAAAAAACAATACTTGTAAAGATTGATTTGAAAATATATTAATAATAGACCAACGATACCGTATATGTACAAATACAAAGACAATTGACAAAGCATCTTGTTAGAATTTAAAAACGAATATGCATTATTTACCTTGATCAAAATTTTATTACAATTATTATCGATAGTATTATTATTTTTCTTCTTAATGTCTATGCAATTTATTATATTATTGTTGTTGTTATTATTATTATTACTCACGTCGTATATTTCAATGGCCTTTCTACCAAGTGGAATATATTTTTCTGATTCTAAATAGGATTGAATTTTTTGATTAAATTCTTCGCTTAGATCTCGTAATATTTTAATCGATATATTCGAATCCATAGGATCGCAAGGTTTCAAAGCAAAACCCGTAATATCAGTTTCGAATGAATCGAAACTTTTCGTCATTATTCCGTCATTCGATGTATTGTTGTATAACGAAAATGTTGCGATAGAACGCGAATAAATAAGTTTATTGCAATTCCATTCACGCGAATGCGATATCTTGTTGTTATTATTGTTGTTGTTTTGATTATCCTTATTAACAGGTATTACATCGTTTATAGTACACTTATGCATTTCGTTTTTCAATAATTTCGATGAGATATTTTTATTAGATAATTTGTTATTCAATGACGTTACGATGGAGGATACAAATCGTTGAAAATCTTGACGTTTGTCGGATAATTTGTTTATATCGAATAAATATAATGTTTTATTTTTGTCGCCATTAGCATAACACAGACTTTGATTATTCGTTAAAATATATTCGCAATTCGTAGAGATGTTAATATTACTCTGATGAAAATTGTCCTTATCCATAACGATACAGCAACTTGAGTTATCCTGATAATTATTTATTATCTTTTCGTTAGATAATAATTTGTTGACTTTAAAAGATTCCTTTTTTCTTTTCTGATCATATAATGGTTTTATTTTATCTAACTTATTATTAATATTATTATTATTATTATTGTTATTAATATTATTATGAGAATTTTTAATAGACGTTGTAAATGTGGAATGATGCTTACCGATTCTATATAATCTTCCTAATTGTTTCAAGGTCTCTTGCGATAACGGAATGAATGGTTGCGAATCAATCGGAGACCATACGATAGCGTTAGGTGATTTTTCTCCGGATTTCGAATATTTCTTTTCTTTCCCAACAATGTCCTTGTTTATTTGCATCTTTTTATATAGATTTTCATTAGTATTTTGTTTAGTTACAAGATTTTTATCGATATTTGATTTAGATTTATTATATTTGTTAACGGTAGATTTGAATTGTTTCGACGATGATGCTTCTATTTTTTCACGATTGAATTCGTTCGGTTTGTTTAACGATCGATTAATAATTTTATTCAACACTCCTTTAATATTATTATTATTATTATTCGATAAATTCGTAACAACACGTTCCGTATATTCGCTCGAATTTCTATTATTCGAATTTATTGTTTCGATTGTTCGATATTTTGTATTTTTTTGATTTGACGTGCCAGGTTTAATCATTTTTTCATTATTAATAATTTCATTGTTATTATTATTAGTATGAATATTTTGGAACATATTGGACATTACTTTTTCGAGATTATTATCGTTTTGTAAATTTTGACGAAACCCTTTAGGTTTTTCTATAGGTCTTTTAACGATTCGCGTATTATTTAATTTTTTGTATAAATTTATTTTAGAATTTCTTTTTAATGATTTCGTTGATTTCGATTTAGAATGATTAGGATAATTGAAAATTTGATTATTTGCATATTTCATTGTTTCTTCTTGCATATTAGAATTATTTATAATTTTTTCTTTACTTTGCAAATTTGTTTTACTTTCATTCGGTATAATTTGATCGGATGTATCATAATTATAAACATTTTTAAGTGTATCTTCGGAATCATTTTCATGATTGTCGAATAAAGGATTTTTTGTTTTAAAGATATTTATCTCGTCAGAAAATGTTACGCTATATTGAGACCTTTTAGAATTTTGTTTTCTAATACTGGACGATATACTTGGCCGAGAAAAGAAATTCATTTTTGATATAATATTTTGCGATTGATTTTCTTTTATTATTATATCATCGTCGTTGATATTATTTTTCAAATGTTTCACTTTAAGGTGAACAAATGTTTCCTTGTTATCCATTTGATTAATTTGATCTATTTCATTTTTCAAACATTCGCGTATAGGAATTTGAGATTTCATTTTAGGTTTGATTATTCTATAAGATGGTTTTTTAACCGGAAAATTAAATAAATTATTTTTTCGCGTTTTAATACGATTCGTCGTAGATTCTTCTTCGATGGATAAACACGAAGTTTGTGCCGATGTATCTTCTGTACGAATATTATTTTCCTCCATCGTAGTGAATTCTTCTTTAAAATTTCGTTCGACTTTATCTTTCGTATTTATTTTATCGTCGTTCGTTTTAAAATAATCTTCGTTTGAAAATATATTAGAGTAAACGTAATTCTTTTCGTAAAATGATTTACAATCGGGATTAAAGAAATGTTCACGATTTGTATATTCGGGAATACATCTTTCAACGATTATGATATTTTTCTTTGATTTTGTTAAATCTTCATTCGATAAATTATTATTATTATTATTATTATTATTATTATTATTTACGTCAGATATTTTATCGTTGCACGTAGATGCATATAATTTTAAATCAATATTCGTCGTATCGTTAGAATTATTATTAATTTGGTCCGTATTATTATTATGTAATAGTAAAAAGTGACACGCTTTTGAAGGTTTCAATTCTTTCGATATGCATTCATTGATATTTTTAGGAACATCACGGAGGGTTTTTTTTTCTATGGGAATCTTCGGTACTTGGATTGATTTCTTACGTCGGGATTTCAAGGAAGATGGAAATTTAGATTGGACATTAACTTGACATACCTCTTGCCACTGCGATTTTTTCGATTTTTCAATTTGCTCGAAGAGTTCGTTTACTTGAACTACTTGTAGCATCACCATATCCCAAAATCCGGCCAAGTCTTCGTTCGTTGTTGGAAATTCTTCGCCTGGCACTTGATTCTAAATATATTACAACAGAAAAAAGAAAACAAAACTGAAATAATAATAATAGAACATCTCTTTGTCGAAGACAAATTAAAAGAAGTTTTTCTTTCTAGCTATTTTTAATTTTAAGAATATAAAATGATGTAAAGCATGAAATTTTCGATATATTTATTTTGACGAATTTAAATTGGCTCGCAGTGCAGCAGTTTCAAATCACACGTGAAACAATAACGATTTTTGATACGAGAAATTAATGTTATAATAAAATCATTGAAATTTGATTACCAAAATTAAAATTACATTTAAAAAAGTTTAGAAATGAAAACCTACACTTAAAAAATTTTAACGACTGTTTAACGCAACATACGTGTGATGCGTTAATAATAATAATAATAATAATTATTATTATTATTATTATCATTACAGAAAGGAAAAAATATTAAATTTGTTGTATTAGAGATGTGTTGTTTCTTTTTTTAAATTAATTTTTCTAAAATATTGCCGGCTCCTGGCTACCATTAAAATGATAATTTTTAACTTAATGGTATATCAATTTCTAGGAACGATAGCTTACAATATTTTTTTGACACAATCCTTCGAACTGTTGCATCTTTTGCGAAGCGAGTAATCTCGCTTTGCCAGCAGCAGATCTCAATTTACCAGCTGCTTCCTCGGGTAATGCAACGGGATCGCCACTGGCCAACTCTGCTTCCGCTGACGCAGCTAATGACAAAAGTCTGTCCGTTTCTTGTTTCAACAGCTAAGGAGAATATATAGATATAGATAAGTTGAGTAAACAAAACGGGAAGAAACATTGACTTGTGTCAAATGACCACATTCTTTCTTTTTGTCGATTGGTATAACATTATATATACTGTTATAACGTTATCTATCATACTTACTTTCAAAAAATAATTTCCATCCTTTTCCTCAGTCGTTTTCTCTGTCTCCTGCATTTGTTTAGCAACGTTACCGGAACTAGCACTAGGTTCTAGAACAGGTAACACTACCTTAGGTGCTGCGGGTTGTTGATCCGGTATACTCGCTATGCTGTTATTGTGTTGAGTTCCCGATTCCGTGACACTTTCTGATACGTGTGCGGTTTTACATGTTTTAGATTGTTGCTCGGTTTTACGCGGAGCTGGCGATATCCTGATTTGCAACGGAACATCAATAATCATTATTATAACGTTTCATTTTTTATTTATCAAACGTGATATTGACATAAACGAAAGATAAACAAACCTCCCATCAGAATAATATGTTAATTACCTTCGCAATGGTTTTATTATTTGTTCGGAACCATCTGTTGGTTTTCTAGAACTGACAACTGGAAGTTGAGCACGGAATTCAGGTCGTAGATGTCTTAAAACTGGCAAATTTTTCAACGATTCTTCCGTATTAACGTTGTCCATCGAGGTATCGCTATTATTATTATTATATTTATTGAAACTATTGTCAGTAACGTTTAGTTTAGTAACGCTGCGTTTAAAAAAGAAACCCTGTGCCAAAGCACCCGGACCGTACAGCCGTTCAACGCGTTGTTGGATGAATGATTTTTCGCTGCTAGATGAGGTATTCGTAGTTTGATTTTCTATATCGATATTTGAACCGTTTAATATACTTGTTTCGCTAAACGACGTATTAGAAACTGGAAAAAATAGAAACAAACAAACGAACAAACAAATGTTCACAATTAATTACTATTTTTTGAGTCATTTAAAAAAAAAACACACACAAAAAGTGTTATAATATTATATTATAATTCTTACTATTTATCGTAGAAGATTTAGGTGAAGATTCCGCAAAATTCGGTGAAAAAGATTTGGTTTGTTGACCGCAAGACATCATTTGAACGATCCCAGGACTCCTTCTCGAGGAAGAATTTACCCTTATGGGACTGACATCCGGAAACGTTGTATGTAAGGATACCCCTTTATCGACCTCAGAGAAGCCCTGACATATACTCATCGTATTTCTTGTTTCTCTATAAGTTTCTATCTTACACTCTTCCTTCATGCCGTTAGAAAAACCATTTTGTCGATCCATTGCGAGTGGCGAAATTGATTGACTTTTAGGCGGATAATGATGTATCGGAACACTTAAATTCTCGTTTGATCTAAACAAGATAAAATATAAGCTAATTCGTATTCGTTTTAGCGAATCACGATACAAAAAAACGACGCTTTACTGCGAATTTTATTAATGCAAACAAATATTGAACATATTTAAAAAAATCTATAATATATACTACAATCAAAAGTATTTAACACATTTATTATTATTTATTATTAATTAATATATAGAAGTGAATCTCGTAAGTATATTAAAATGATTCTAATTACATTTAAATGAGGAAATTATTGTAATCTAATATCGAACATATACACGCATAATTTGCATATATTATTTTCGTTCACCTTAATTCGCAGTTTACCAATGATTCGTGTTTTTAAATGTTACATTGTAAAAAGTACTTACTTGAAACCTGCAGGACTAGTATCCCTAGTAATCAGTCTTGTTCCAGGGCTGCTATCTCTCGATCGGAAACCTTCTCTCAATTTACTATCGTACCTGGTGATGCCCGAGTAACCGCTTATACTGCAAGCCAATCCCAAGTAACTAGGTTTTTTCGCTGTCAGCTGTTCTTGTTGCTCGGGACTGCAACGATGACCATTGCTGACGATCACCTTATCATCGGGAGGAGTGAGAAGATGTGACTTTTGCAGCGTCTCGCTGCTACCGTTCACCAAATTTTCCGGCTTTTGTTGTTCACCGTTACACGACAAGTTCAGGCTGTGCAGCGTTCTCTCGGATACGGAATCTACGGTATTTTCTGTAATATTCGTAATACCGTTTTAAATTTATTCCAAAACAAACAAAAAAAAAAGAAGGGAAAGAACAAAATTTGCAAGACTTAACCGATAACAAAAAAAAAAAAAAAAGAAAAAAAGTACACGCACTATTTCGAAGATTAAAATATCTATTCCCTTGACTCCTTCTACCCCACCAAAAAAAAATAAAAAAAAAACAAAGAAAATTAATGCACAACTGCAACAACGACGACAACGCACGAAAATGGATAAATATCTTAAAGAAAAAAAGGGAAAAAAATGACGACAAGGGTAAGCCAAGAAGAAGTAGTAACGCGTTTTAAAGATGATCGAATCTCACACTCGACGGAGACTCGAGGCAGGAATAACCCTGGAACGGTAAAAGGGTCTCTTCTGATGCTAGTGGTCTGCTGCTGTTGGCTTTGCACGAGTTTCGGTCTTCTCTTGGCACGCACCACTACCACCAACGGGAACCTGCCTGCTTGCCTGCTTGCTTGCTTGCTTGCCTGTCTGTCTGTCTTACGGGCAACACTTCGGTGCCGTTTTACTTGCGGCTTAAAGTCTAAATTCGATTGGCATTCGCGGTCTAACGAAAAGCACGACTAGAAGAGATTTGTTTCAGAGGTAAGGTGAACGAGGCGCCAAAGGAACGAAGGAAAGGAAATCTTTCTCTCTCTCTCTCTCTCTCTTTCTCTTTCTATCTATCTTCTCTTTTTATTTATTTCTTTCTTTCATTGGAGAATTTTTGTTCATTCGAGTTGCTGGGTGAGTCTTCTTTCTCTCTCTCTCTCTCTCTTTCGAATGAGAATGTCTATCTTGGGAGGAAGTAGAGATGTAAAGTGTATACGAAAATAAAGAAACAAACAAATACCACAAACTTGTTCGAAATTCTATCTGCTTTAAGAAGAAGAAGAAGAAGAAGACCGCAAGAGGATTAGAAGGTTTCAAGGTTTCGAAAAAAGGGGTGCGAGGGGCTGGGGAAAATAAGATAAAGAAAGAAAGAGAGAGAGAGAGAAAGCCAGAGAGGGGGATGGAGAATGAGGGTGCGGATGAGGTGGGGTGGGGGAAGAGATAACCGCAGAGATAGCCAACCTGATCGGTCGGAGACGGAACGATCGACGTCCAAGCTGCAACTTCCGATGCTGTCCTGACTGGTCATGTTGGGTCGAAGATGATGAGGTGTATGATGTTGTTGTTGTTGTTGTTGATGATCGAGTTCGTCGTTAGTGGCGTCCGGATCAAGACGATGATAGTTGATAGGTTGTACGGCCAAAGAAAGGGGTCTTGTTGTAGTACGTCGTGGAACTACTGAACTCAACCCAGTCCCGGGTTGTACCTGGGACGTCGCGACGTAGGATTCTCCAAGAAATTCCTCCTCCAGGCCTGGTACTACTAACTCGGTCGGTGTTCTTGTTCCTGGTGTTCCTCCTCCTCCTCCTCCACCTCCTCCTCCAACGCCTCCACCACCACCCACCACCACCACCCCACGTCGACTCGATTCGCGATCGACCCCCGTTCGACGACAATCCCTTGACGACGATGACGACGATGATGGTGGTTGTTTTTTCTGCTTCTGCTTCTCCTCCTCTTCCTCCCCGCAACGATTCTCGTGCACGCTGCACCGAGTTTTTATTTCTTTTTTTTTTGTTTTGTTTTGTTTTGTTGGTTTGGTTTGGTTTGGTTTTGGGGGGAACTTTTGGGATTTATCTTTATCGTTTTCTAATCTATTTTCGTATTCTCACGATATAATAATCGAATTTTGAAATTCTTGTCGAATGTCACAACGACGAGACGTGCCAACGATTTAGTTATTATTATTGTTTTAATAAATTATCAAACGTAACGAGGGAGTTGAATATTTGATGATTGTTTTGTTCACATCGTAATTTTTCGTAGTTTAAGATTCAATTATGTAAATGGGGAGAATGTGAAACATTCTCATTGGAATTTATGCGATTTACATATATCTATTTTTCCTTTTTTTTTTATTAATTTATTAATACAAGCTAATTCATAATTTATGCCAAGTTATTTAGAAAGTATATAAATTAATTTTTCAATTTTTTTTTCGTTTTCTTTTTTCATTTCTTCTATTAGGAATACGTATTTTTAATAAACTTTAACTTACGACTTTTAGTAACTTTCTTTTTCTATTTTTTTAAATAAAGATTAATATTTTTACATAATTTATGTCAAATTTCTTGTACAATTGTGAATCCTTTTCTTGCTTGATCTTTTTTTAAATTGAAATATATGAAATAAAAGTTTGAAAAATAATACTATAGTGTTGCATTCGTTCATCCACGACCGACACGGTTTCCTTCTCTTAATCGTTTACGATCACGTTAGTTCCAATCGACTACTTTTTTTTCTATTTTCTTTCCCGATCATGCTTATACCATCTGAAGAAGTTTAACATTGATGTTAGATGGCTTCGATAGAAATTCGAATTCTTCTCGCTCGAATAAGCACGATGAAAGAAAAAAAAAGAAAAAAAGAAAAACGAAAGACGCTACACGAAGAATGTAGTATTGTTATATTTTCGGATTTGACGATAATAATTTGCAAACTTTGCTTATACATTTTCTCACACTTTTAACTATATTTTATCGTTGTCTTCTTTTTTTCTATTTATTTATTACAATCCCAATCAATTTATTAGAAAAGAAAGTTTCATTTCATATTTCTCGCGACACACACGATCGAGCATTCAACAACAACAACAAGTCTTCCTCATCGTCATCATTTTCTTTTACTTTCGCGAACGCGAACGCGTTAAATCGGTCAACGTGGTGGAATTTATAAAAAGAATAAATAAAAACGGTAAACGAGAAACGATAAAATTACTCTTTTGACATAAATAGATTCGTCACCAACATTTCTCCCGTCGTTTCACGCGAAATTCTGCGAGTGAGAGGATTTTTAAAAAAAGAATTTTCCTTTTTTTTTTTTTTAAATAATAATAATAAAATACGTAACACAATTTCGATATCCTTGATCGCGATCAGGATAACATAACCCGCCAATTAAGATCGCCAATCCTTTTTTTCCCCCTTTGCAATATTTCATATTTATGATAATCGTTACAAGAACGAAAATCACCTCCTGTGTAAGTAGAATAAATGATAATTAAATAAATAAATCTTTGGCAACGTTTGATATCGTGAGAACACGATCATTAAAATCCTTTTTTCATTCGTGTAAAACAATTTATACAATCGGAATTCGGTGCAGTGTTGTTTCCCTATTTCTTTTTATTTCGTTAAATTTCTTTTTTTTCCTTTTTTTTTTCTTCCTTTACCTTCGCGACAAATTTCATGCAGTAGCAGCGTGATTGTAAGTGAAATTCGTGATCATTTTTGTGTACTCCAACATTATTATTATTATTATTATTATTATTTTTCTTGTTGCCTTGTTTTCTGTATTCTCTCGAAAATTATCAAAATCCATACAGAAACAACAACAACAACAACAACAACAACAATAACGACAATGACAAAAAAGTGTGTTGATTTGTTTTTTTTGTTTCAATCGTTATTTACAAAGTGTGTTTAGCCAGTAGAAAAAAATTAGGAGGAGGTGGCGGTGACAGTGAAGGGCAGGCCTGAATTAAATGCACAAAATGCAACGTGCAGCAGCGAAGCAAGATTGTGCGAATTGAAACAACCAACAGAAGGGGGACAGGGGGGGGGGGGTCAAAAGGGTTGGGCAGAGCGACAAGGGGGACAGGGGGAATAAGAAATCATGCTTGATCGTGAAATTATGACGATGAATGTTATTATCAATTAAATAGTAAGAAGACGTTTGAAATAAAAAAAAAAAAAAAAAATGAAGAAAAATGTATCAATTGATGGTACGAGAGAATGTAATAATTATAATTATAATTTCTTATCTCCTTTTTTCTCTCAATGGACGACAACGAATGCGATTCATAATATAAACGTTTGTCGTTAAACATTCGAGAAATCGAACGTAGTAGTAGTAGTAGTAATAAAAAAATGAGTTTTAACGAGATAATTTAAAAAACAACGTTTGGATTAGTAACACAAACATTATTCTACGATAAAGTAATAATCACTTCTTTTACTTTGCGTTAATGAATGCATTATACTCGAAAGGTCATCGTTATTAGTATAAGAGTAAATTAAAAAAAAGAGAGAGAAAGAGAGAGAGAGAGAGAGAGAGAGAGAGAAATTCCTATCGTACCTTCTTCGCCAATGTTTCCATAGAAAAAACTTCGAGGTACCCTTTTTGGGCACAGGATTCACAGTGTAAGTACCACTTTCAATTTTGAGAGGCATCCTTTGAAATCTAACGCGTAAACGTATCCAAAAGAGAGGGAGGGGAAGGGGGGGGGAGTATAAGAAAAGTAAGTAAGTAAAGTAAATATAATACCAACTTCCACTAGCGTACAATTTGAACAGACCTCCTGTTGGATCGATAATATTATCGATAGTAGGTAGGAGGATCGATGAGAAGATCGATACGGTATCAAACAACGCGCGGTGAAAGATATTAAAAGAATTTCAAAGGGGAAGATATTCGAGTAGGATATCGTTTTATTCGTCTGAATATAATATATTCCTTTTTCAAAGGTATATATATATATATATATATACTCACACACGCACACGGAGACTGACTCGTATTTTTCGCGCGCGTACGGATATTAAAATATATTTTCAAATATCTCGAATTTTTTTGTTCAAAACGTACGTTCGTACCTTTTCCTTTGAGAAAAGAATCTCAAAAGAATAAAATAAAAAATAAAAATCAACGAGAGAATAAGAATAAGAAGAAATCGCACGTGTAATGTGAAAGAAAAAGAATCCCTTCTCGACGTGAAAACGACTCTTTTTTTTTTTTTTCTTTCTTTTTTTATTATTTATCCCTCTTCGAATAGTGCCCTTTGTGTCACTTAGTTGTGTTGTATTCTCCAAGTAAGCACGTTGCTAGGATGACTAGTTCTCGAATACTGACATTCTCGTCTCGTCTTTCTCTCATCTTGTGTGAGTCTCTGCGAGAGAAACTCCCTCCCCCTTCCCCCTTCGCCCCCCCTCTCTCTCTTTTTCTCTCTTTTCGCTCTCTTTTACTTTCTGGACGAGGGCAAGAGCTGAGTATTTTAGGAACACTCGAAAAACCACGATGGGACACGCGTCGTTTCCTCTTTTCCTCCCTCTCCACCTCCCTCCTTCTCCTTCACCCTCTTACCCTACCAACCCTCGTTCTTCTTTACTTCTTCACGGACATTAGGCCGAACCAAAGCGAGAACTTACTCACTCACATACACATACACACACATGTATACACGCACACATTTTATACGTCGGTTGCTTTAATCTCGAAAGACACCATGGTGCACGTGTGCACCCATAGTAGCCACGCGTTCAACACCTTCCCAACACAAAACCATCTCCCTCTTTTCCCCATAACGTAAAGGTTTTGCGTTCCCCCTTAATTTTCCTCCGTACCACTGTCTTCTATCTCTCTCTTTCTTTCTTTCTGTTTCTTTTCTTTTTATCTTTCTCACAGATTATTTGTTTTGACCTCTCACCAAAGCTGGTCTTTTACGGGGCGTTAATTCTTAAACGTCATTACGATCTACGTAACGACCTGACGAGATCTTCTTTCGCTAAATCCTACTCTCTCTCTCCCTTCTCGTCTCATCTCTCACCCTATTTCCACCCCCCCGTTTACTACTCACCAGTATATCTTCGACGTGTTCGAGAAGCGTGTAATTGCAACTAGGATGATTGTCTCATCGTATTGCTTGTCCACTTGAGATGAGTGGACTAAGCACAATGTCAACAAACGAGAGAACAAATATATATATATATATATATAGGTATATATAAGTATGAATGAATAAAAATCGAAAGATTTTGTTAACTTAAATACATTTCTAATTTTAAATTAATCGAGTGTTTGACGACTACAAATTTTTTATTATTAATAATAACCAAAAAAAAATATATATATATATACTAAATTTTGATCCGATTTGCAATAAGTACTTGAGTTTTGTGTAATAGGTTTTTTTTTCTTTTGTAAAAGTATGCTTGAAAAATGATTGCGGATATTTATATATATGTAAAAGAATTGATTATCTTTTCGATTTTTCCTTATACAAAGGTTTATCCATATATACGAATCGATCAAGTGGAAACATACAACCATTCGAATGGTAAACGTGTGGGCGTACCGATACCCACGAATCCATGACTCATATGATTCAAGATCTAATAATATTGGTGGTAGCTTATTTCTTACGAGAATAATTGTGTGTCCGATCGGTAATTCGTTTTCATCATTATTCGATTACAGCAATTAATAATGATATATACGTATATACGTATAACGGGGTCGTTGTTAGTTATCCTGTTATATTCGAGAAAAGATGTCAGGAAAATTGTTAATAATTTGTCGGCAGCGGTACGAATAAAGAAAAAAAAAAAAAAAATATATTTTATTTCGAAGAAGACTTTCTCGCTTAAATGGTTTTATATCTGTCTTGTTTTATTTTTTTTTTTATTTTTTCTTTACTTTCTTGATTTAGCATGATAATATAGAAACGCATCCTTTCGCGTATTTCGCGTACACGTTTATGGTTATGTAA